ACCCACTCTGCTATCGCTCCAGGATAATAGGAAAGAGAAATTCTAAGATGACAGACTGATAGCAAGTCTAGAATAGCAAGCATTCTAGACAGGAGTCAGGTGAGCTATCACTCTTGGAGGATCGTTTGTCCCAGTGTGTTGGAGATGGGGCAGAAGGTACCAGGTTACATATTTCATACTCCATCCAGAGGAGAGCGAGAACAGAATTAGTGAAAGGAACAGAGAGCAAATTAATACGGGAAATTTTAAGGAAACAAAAATATGCACAAGAAATCAAATTATCTTGAATAGACACACACACATATATAGTCATAATAAAATTAATATTCCTAATTCAAATTTATGTTTCTATAGCCGTTAACGTTGTTAAACATGTGGGCATTTCCCAAGAACAGATGACTGGTTAAAGAAACTTTGGTACATCTACACAATGGAGTACTATGTAGCTGTTAGAAAAGATGAAGTCATGAAATTTACATACAAGTGGTACAATATGGAAAGTATCATGCTAAGCGAAATGAGTCAGAAAGAGAGGGATAGACATAGAAAGATTGCATTCATCTGGGGGATATAAAGTAACAAAGTATGAGATTAATACCCAAGAATAGCTGAGATCAGCACCAGGAGGATTACTCCATAACTTAGAGGCCAGCCGGGTATCCTAGAGGAAAGGGCAGCTCAGATAGAGAAGGGAGCACCAAATAAAGGATGTTTGGAGGATCCTCCCAGGAGGGGAGATGCATGTCGAAAGTAGACTATGGACTGAACATGTTTGCCACTCAATGCCTCTTTTGCAGACCACAACACCCAAAAGGAGAGAGAGAACACAGGGGATTGCCCTGCCACAGAGGCAGGGGGGATGGGGGGATGGGGGTGGGAGGGATATTATCCATGGTGGTGGAAAATGGGCACTGGTGGAGGGATGGGTATCTGATCATTGTATAATTGAAACCAAAGCACAAAAAATTGTAAATCTACAACTTTAAAAAAAAATAAAATAAAATAAAGGGGAAAAAAAAAACATGTGGGCATTTGTTAGAAAGTCAACTTTCATGTAAATTTCTAGAAACCTACCGTTAAAAAAATAAAGAAGTAGCACTAGAGGAAAGTTATTTAGAAATTTGGAGTAGGAAAAAACTCTCAAATGTTGAAAGCTATGAAGGAGCATAAATCAGGGTTGGAAAAAGCTGTGACTGAGAAACCATGAATCAGGTACTGAAATCATTCATAGGTGAAGAGTCTGCTCAAGAGATGGTAAATGAATGTTATCCAACACAATAGAAAGAAGAGGAAAATAATATTAGAAAGAAATAGAAAGGCCATCAGAAGATCTTGGGTTTTATTGAATGAGAGAGGGGAAGTAGCTTTTATAGAGCAAGGGGATAACAAATGCACTTCTAAGCCTAAGGGTTTCCACAGTAAGTGAAAATCATTATGCTCCACTAAAGACTGGGAAATAATAGTGATCCATTAAAGGATGCTGGGGCTGGAGCGATAGCACAGTGGTAGGGCGTTTGCCTTACAAGCAGCCAACGTGGCCGACCCAAGTTGGATTACTCCACCCCTTTCAGAGAGCCCGGCATGCTACCAAGAGCATCGCGCCCGCACGGCAGAGCCTGGCAAGCTACCCATGATGTATTTGATATGCCAAACTCAGTAACAACAAGTCTCATGATGGAGACGTTACTGGGCCCGCTTGAGCAAATCGATGAACAATGGGAGGACCATGACCATGATTAAAGGATGCAGTATTAGTTGACTCTATAAATGAAAGACCAAGTGAAGAACTTGAGACTTAATGTAGTAGCTGCGTCTTTTATTATTATTATTATTATTATTATTATTATTATTATTATTTTATTGAATCACTGAGATATACAGTTACAAGGCTTTCATGTTTGAGTTTTAGTTATACAATGATCAAAAACCCATCCCTCCACCAGTGCACATTTACCACCACCAATGTCCCCACTACTCCTTCCCAATCCCACCCCTTTCACCTGTGTCTATGGCAGACAATTTTCCTCTTTCTCTCTCTACTTTTGGGCATTATGGTTTGCAACACAGATACTGAGAAGCTATGACATTTGGTCCTTTATCTACTTTCAGCACACAACTCCCATCTCAAACTATCTCTCCAACTATCATTGACTTAATGATCCCTTCTCTATTCCAGCTGCCTTCTTTCCCAGTTCATGAGTCAGGGTACCAACCATGGAACAATAATTCTGCCCGTCTCTAATATCCTTGGGTGTCAGTCTCATATTATGTTATTTTATATTCCATAAATGAGTGGTCATTCTATATCTGTCCCTCTCTTTTTGACTCATTTCACTTAGCTTTATACCCTCCACGACCATCCACTTATAAGCAAATTTCACGACTTCATCTTTCCTAACAGCTGCATAGTATTTTATTGTGTAGATGTACCAAAGTTTCTTTAACCAGTCATCTGTTCTCGGGCACTCGAGTTGTTTCCAGATTCTGGATATTATGAGCAGTGCTGAGTTGCTGTGTCTTGGTACTCAGTAGCTGCAGAGGAAAGATGTACTGGACCAAAAGAACTCAGCATGTTTTAGAGATGAGATAAAGAAAAGAAAAGATGACTAGGTAAACATTTGGCTTGAGGTCAAAGTGTGGGAATGTACTACTATGTGAATTAAATTCCAAAAGTCTAAGTGAGCCATGGACACTCTAGCTAAATAGTTCAGGCAGAGGCCTGAATTTTCTTTTACCTTTTGGTCTATAACATATATATATAATATGCATGTAAGTATATATATATATATATATATATATATATATATATATATATATCTGTGATAGCAACAGCTATCAAGCATCAAGTCCTTGGTTCAACAGAGAAGGGTGAGACTTGGCACCAGGCAATGCAAATGATACAGGAGCAGTTAGTGCTTTTCCTATTAGTAGCCTCACAGAGGCAGGTGGATTTGTATAGACCCTGATTCAAGTCAGCAACAGCACAGCTAACACATCACTTCCAGAGACACAAAGTGAAAACCTGGGAAGTGTTCAAAACTCCTTTCTGTCCCCCCACCTTACTCCATCTCCCCCCCCATCCCTGGTACCTCCTTGTTACTTCTCATTTAACCCTTCACCAATATGTTAGATTCTGATTATTGGGTATCTTTCCAGTTCATTACCACTTTCCATGCTAGTCTAAGCCATCACTTCTGACTTGCAGTTATCTAAAGGAATGTTTGCTGAGTGCCTTGTATATGTCGGATATTTAGTGTTTACAGGCTTTCCCACCTCTGTTTGATCCCAGGTTCAGACCCCAGAGGCACCAACCTAAAATGAGAGATTTCTAGTAAGGTTGAGTGAAATAACAGTTACAAAACCTTGTGACTCACGTTCACATAAATGAGAAGTGTAGGAGTTCAAGAGAGAAATTGAGAAAAAGAAAAAGGTCATTTTAGAATTATTTTAGTCAGTCTTCTACAGACTACCATGTGTAAGTAACCACTAAGTGGTTACTCATGAACCTGTCTACAAAATATGACATTTATTAATTCCATAAGTTAAAGGGGAAGTAATAATAACTTTGGGCTAAACATCCAACATTTGCTAAGAATATTTTATTCACTTGCCTCCAAATGTGGTTCTGTATAAGCAATCTAAAGAACTAAATACCACATTGTTTTAATGAACCATCATTAATTTCTGGTACAGCACTAAATTTTTGGCAAGTAAAACAAACCAATGAGTAGAAGCTTCATATAAATGCTCATTCAATAATTCTTCTGTAGTTGCCAGACTGGACACTGAATTCACAGTGAATAAAATAGTCTTTTTCTTTGTCTTCGAAAACTTTCCCTGACATGTTGGGAAATGGACACCTTCTTAGCAAGCAATATGATTACTGCTCCAGAGTTCAAGAGAAACTGGCAGGCCATTTCTCTAGGGGTACATTCATAGACACAGTAACCTTTTAGTAAGAACAAGATGTTTTTCAGAAAATTATCAGTCAAGCAGACTTCTGGGAGAGAGTTCCACACATACTTACTTGTTGCTTGTCTTATATATTCATTTTTTGTTCTGCATTTGTTATGTTATATCCTGATACCAAGTGCCAAGACATATGCATTAGTGAAAAAAATGCCATTGCTATCTCCAAAAGGCTGATAGTCCAAGATGACTGACATTGAAAAACAGCAAATGGAGCCAAGTGTTGAAGGTGCAGTGACACAAGTTTGTACAAGATGTCATGGTGTTTAGTTCGTTTAACCAAGAGGAAGAGGGAAAAAATATGTCAGGCATGATTCAGGAATTTCTGTTATGATTTCAAGTTGTTGTCTCCCATTCAAATGATAGGATTCAGAAAGACAGACATATCACTGAAGTTAGCCAAGCCAACTCTGCATCTTCAGAGAGGCATAAAGTTCCATGAAAATGGGAACTTTGTTTAAGTCATCACTCTATCCCCAGCTCCAAGATCTATTCATGGAACATGGGTGTTTATTCAATAAATTACATGTTGACTAGTGGAATGAGTCTGGGGCTCAATAGGACATTTTACCTCCAGAGTAAATGCTTGAATGTTTTCACTAAACTGGGGAGAAATGGATTTTTGTTACAGCCAATTCTGGTGGTCTCTGTATTTCACTGCAATTTACGTAAAATTAAAAACGCTGGATCCGTTCTTTAAGAGAGGGAGTGTGAGCACCAAGCCAGCATTTGCGCTGAATCAGAACTGTATTCTGCTCCTTTCTTTCTCTCCAAAGCTGTGCAAGTGTGGGAAGTCTCCTAACCTTTCTGAATCCCTTTCTTTCTTGTTTCAAGTGGGAAGAAAAAGCTGTCTCATACACCTTTCAGGGCTGACTAAGGATTACTTGATATAATGCATGCCCACGTCTCGTATAAACTTTAAAGCATTACATAATTATGAAATGTACACAAAACCAAATTCCTCATAGAAGCTTTAAATGGCATATGTCTTCAGTTAATTAAACTGTTATTTTTTCCTTTTGTTTCCCTAGTGCAGTGCCTGGAGATGACCACCAAACGGAAGCTCATCGGCCGTCTGGTGCCATGCCGATGTTTCCGAGGTGAAGAAGAAATCATCTCAGTGTTAGATTACTCCCACTGCAGCCTGCAGCAAGTGCCAAAGGAGGTCTTTAACTTTGAGCGAACATTAGAGGAGCTTTATCTAGATGCCAATCAAATTGAAGAGCTACCCAAGGTAATTTTTGACAACCTCAAATACTCACTGACAACGAGCACTTCCTAATTTTCACAGACTTGCCATGGTGATTATGTTAACCATAGACTTCTATCTGGGTAATTGACAAATCATTCAAATTAATATTAGCTTATTATTCTCATGACTTCTTTATACCATTCACTTGTCATTTTATGTGAGATGTGAATAACCAATTGAATTACGCCGAAATGGGCATTTTGTGGATTATATGTTGTTTTATATATTTGAAAATTGCCTTCAAAAAAGGCAATCGGTAGCTTATGTCTAGCAAAGAAAAGAAAAATATGCTTCTCTCTAGTCTAGGTGTATGTTGTAAGTTTGTTTAAGAGCCCTGAGTTAGATGTTTTGAGTCTAAAAAGCATACTTTTAGTAATGTGCAATTAAGATTGTTATAAAAAGCATGCTACTTTTTTCTGGAATTGGGGGTTTTATTATTACAAGCATAGAATTTATTGCATGCAAGTGAAAATGTTCCCTGGAACCTGTTGTCTGTGGCAGAAAAGATTGACAGAGAAGTGATTATTCAAAGGAAATTGGAGGGGAGTATTGAAGTGATAGTATAGCAGGTAGGGTGTTTGCCTTGCACATGGTCGACCCCGGTTCATTCCCTGGCATCCCATATGGTCCTCTGAGCACTGCCAGGAGTGATTCCTGAGTGCAGAGCCAGAAGTCAGCCCTGAGCATCGCCGGGTGTGACCAAAAAAAGCTAAAATAAATGAATGAATAAATAAATAAAGCGAATCAGGGCTCAAAGCCAAATGGCAGAGAGTCAGTGGTACCCCTTTGTGGTTGAATGCTTGCCTCGCATGTGTGAGTCCTGGACTGAGTCTGAGCACCACACAAACACACACACACACACACACACACACACACACACTCAGTTTAATTCATGGGTGTGATTTTTACTTAGGAGGGATTTACACAATGGCTCAGAGTATAGGAGATGCCATCTAGGATAGGTTTCCATGGCTGGTGCTAAGGAAAAAAATGCATGTTATATAAACAAGAACAAGGTAAAAGAAAAAAAACTACAATAAAATCTAGTTCTGTTATGAAAATCTGAGTGTTGTGTACTGATCAAAACAAATTATGAGCAATTATTTTCATTTCGGATTATGAATCATAGTGTTTACACATCACTTGAGAGGCAAGAAGTAGTTAAGGTGCACTTCAAAAGCAGCAGACTTTACTTTTGACAATCTAAGTGTATAATGTCATCTCTGATATTTGTTCAAGAGGCTAGCAGACAAAAAAAAAAAACTAAGGCATTGGATCAGTAGCTACACTGCCCATAAATTATAGGCAGGCCTGCAATGAGCTGTTCTTCCTATCAGATTAGGAGCTACTTGAGGCCAAATGTGGCCTCTTATTCATCTTCAATGATATTCATATAATAGAAAATCTATTTGTTTTCTGTGCCTGGGTAGAACAACATAGGGAACTTCTTGTACTACAGACCTTGATTAACAGAAGCTTGTGAAGTTAAATAATTCATAAGCATGGGGTTTCTTATTTAGAAAAACTAGCACACATCACTTTTAGGCAATCTAATCTCATAATAGATAAAATAAAAACCATCAGTGAAATAAGAATTTTAAATTAAAGAACATGTGATTCTTTTCTATATTTATCCCCTAAGTATTTTATTGTGTACATTTATATCAGAAGAGTTTGTTACTTATCTGAAATGCAAAAATTTAGAGTCTTCTGTAATTTTATTTATAAAATATGGTAGCCCTAGGCTAATCTAGTGATTTAAAATATTTTTTGAGAAATATGAATCATCTTTGAGACAAATAGTAAATCAAGGTTAATTAATCAAGTATATATTTAATAACTACTTTATTACACAGGGTTTGAGGCTTGAGAGGAGGGCTATAAAAATTAATCTGAATTTTTTATCTCAAGAATCTTACAGTATAATTACAACAAAAGTAACAAAAATCTTAGAGTGGTGTGGATAGTCATGTATGACATAGCCCAAGTGTTATTCAGTATTCTATCCAGCAGTGTGATAAGAGTTTTCATATAGAGAATTACATTCCAGGTGGGTGGGAGGAACTTTTGACCAAAAAGCAGAGATGCAAAACCTAAGATGTTGAATACAGAGAGGGGTGAAAGGTACGAAGAAGCTCTGAGGAGCCTGGAGCTACAGTAACATGGGGTGAAGGTAATAAAAATGAGGAAAATCCAGACTATGGATTGTCTTAGAAGGCACACAGCTTAATACAATATGCAGACAGTGCCATTGGAGAATCTTCTCCACAAATTAGAAGCTTAGGTAGTATTGGAAGAAAAATAGACTTTTTTTATAGTGATTTAATGAAAACAATTAATTATAAATACAAAGAATATAGACTAAGCAAAGACTTAATTTCCCTATATATTAGAATAAAAGAGAAATTGTTATCTATTATTGTTATGCTTTATATATTTCATTTAGCTTTCAGTTGAGCATAAGATTTCTTTGAACTCCCAAACTTAATTTTGTTACTTTCATAAAATACCCCAGATTTCTAAAAACTATCTAACGTTGAGATAAAATCTAAATTATATCACTTTGAGATTTAATACTAATAGTACATGTATATATTTGTGTACTATTAGATATAAAAACAAACCTAAAAACAAAAGGTTTAATCAGCTAAGGTGCATTCTGTTTAAGTAACAAAACTGTAGGATAACACTGTTTTGTCTTTCCTGCATAGCCTCAGGTAGTTTAGGTATATTGAGTTGCTCCTATCACAGTGCTCCCATTCCTCTGTGTTTATTTGTAACTTCTTTCTTTGTGCTCTGTTGACTTGTAAATATTGTTTTTCTCTTCTCCCTATGTCCATTGAATAGTTTATTCAGAGCAATGTCCTTTTTGTATGGACACAAGAAGTCATTCTTGTGTAATGTATATTTATATCAGTGATATTTCCCTCCTGGACATCTGTTCTCTCACCTAAGTCTCAGCTGCCTTTACTTCCTAGCACCCCCAAAAGCAGAGTCCCGAAGAGGGACTGGATGGAACCAGGACAAGCGGTAAGCTATGTGCTACCCTGGCATGGAGATGGGCCTGGCCAAAGTGCCATAATGCTTAACTATGAGTTAAGAACTTGGTCATGGACAAATGCTGTCATGATGCAAAAAGTAATAACTAGATTTGGACCCTGCTAGGTTTAGGAATGATTAATCTGGCCTGAGCTCTGTAGTCAGAGTCTGGCAAGATGTTCCCAGGAGAGCTGCCCTACAAGCGTCAATGTATCTCTTACTGGGTCCATACAAAAAATAACTAGTATAAAGATGTTATTGAGTTACTGGATTGAGGAAAGGAGAAAAAGACTTTAAGAGGCATTTTGCCCTTGGGCAGTCAGGAAGGGCTCCTTGGTAGTGTTTCTGTCCTTGAGACAGACAGTCAGGAAGGGCTTTTTTATGTTGATTTTGCTACCTGACTGGGTGCAGTGTGGGCCCAGAGTGCTGGAGAATTGAAGAGACAAGAGAGTTAGAGAGAGAGGATGAGAGCTGGGGAGAGTGAGAAAGGGCAGGGCAACATGATGGAGTGCGGAGAGACTAGCAAGAGGGACAGAGAGAAGGATGTGGAAGAAGAATGCAGGAGCAGGCACATGGAGAGAGCCCAGGCTACGAGAGGTAGCACAGAGAGATGAGCAGGAGAGACAGGAGAAGATGGGAATGAGGGGCAGTGTGAGACTAGAATGGGGTTGGGCTCAGAGAGACTGGGGCAGGAGCGTGGGAGAATAGAATAAATGGCGACTGATCAATCAACCAGCTTGGCCCTCATTTCCTCAGCCGTCTGCCCCATTACCCGGGCCACCCCAGCTGGGGGAGCGACCCGGGACCCACCCTGAATTGCGGGTGGCTAGGGGAAGATCCGTCACCCTCCACCCCCAGTCGCCCCTAAAGATTTTATACACAAAAGCTTTTCAAGACTGACTTAAATAGTAAAGTTGATTGGATGACGTCCATGGAAGGTGCATCAGGAAGACACATCTCAAGCAACAGAGTGGAGATTTCTCTGTTCTTGTTTGGGAACAGCTACGTCCTGAGATTGATTTATCTCAAGGTAGAGGTTCTGTAGGATAACACTGTTTTGTCTTTCCTGCATAGCCTCAGGTAGTTTAGGAATATTGGGTTGCTCCTATCACAGTGCTCCCATTCCTCTGTGTTTATTTGTAACTTCTTTCTTTGTGCTCTGTTGACTTGTAAATATGGTTTTTCTCTTCTCCCTATGTCCATTGCAGAGTTTATTCAGAGCAATGTCCTTTTTGTATAGGCGCAAGAAGACAGTATATGCTATGCTTTTGTAACATGACTCTCAGTGTTCTCTAGTTCACTGTTCCAACATTAAAAAAAAAAATAGCAGATTCCTGGAAACTCTCCTGTGTAGGATTAGAAAATATCTCTCCTACCCCAAAGTTTCTCACCTAAATCTTTCTTAGCTCTCATTAGTCTAATTGTTTCACAAGTTAGTTGCTGATTCAACACTTTGCTGTAAGATTCACTATATAGCCAAGTTTGAGTTGGGGCAGGGAGGGAGGGTGTAACTGCTTGGGCTAGCAATAACCACCTCTGAATGCTGTGATCAACTCCAGCTACAAAAAGAAGAGGAAGAGAAATTCTGTTGGGGTATCTGAGTGTCAACTACGCACAAGTTGTTATGGAATCATTGTTTCCTGGGGGGAATGAGGCTCTTAATTAAAGAAAATAGTTAAAGTTTTTAAGGCCTTGTAGACAAAATAATGAGCTTTTAGAAGATTTCTATCTTCAAATTCAGATTAAATTATCGTCACTAGCTTATTTTTTGTTCTCTTTGTGTTCATCTGGCATTGCCACTCTTCTGGTTTCAGATCTGCAAAAGAATGAGATATTCATTTGTATTCTTGATGTTATACTACAGTAGGAATAAAGGTTATAAATGTTCTCATATTTTTTATAAATTCTGTAAGTGTACTTGTATTTCTGATAGTTTAGTCATA